TTATAAATTATCTACGCGTACTTATTCGTTTTATATAAAATATACGTATGTTTAATAAATATTTATGTCTATAATGTTTATAATAATATGTTAATATTATCTATAAGGTGGTGATTATAGGTGATGCCATCAAGCGCATATATAATAAATATTATAGTTTTTTTCATTTTTTGGCTGTTTATTTGTAACTAAATACTAAATATTAGGTATAGTATAATATTATGTTTCAAGTTTCAACAATATTATATTATTTATTTTAAGAATCTGGCAAGTTACCCATTTATTAATATGCACGCGTATATCTAATGTACACAAACTTTTAGACTATACTTAACTTTATTATTATTTTTTATTTCTTGATATTATACAATACGAAAAATATAGATATTTTATATACTGCATACTTAAATACTATTAGGTTATATAAACAGTATTTTAGAAATTAGATTAATATTAAATATTATTTAATTTAAGAACTGTTGATATTTGTATAATGTGCATCTATACTCGTATCTTATAGTATCTACGTACATATTTTATTGATAATTTAAACATTTAAATAGGTATTAGTGGTATTGTTGGTACAACATACAATTACAGTGATTTAAAGATCATATATTTTTGTATAATTAGTACTATGTATTTATATTGAATAATAATTGTATAGTAGCTATAGTAGTGTAGTATAGTTACAGACTTACAGTATATTAAGTTACTGTTCAAAAATTAAAATTTCTAGGAATGTTATTTTCTGAATTATAATAGTATTTAAGTAATGTATTTCTGTATTTTAAGGTATCAAGTTTATTTGTGTTAAATTTAACTGTTAAGCCTTGATCCTATGTTTTTAATTTTTGAGTAGATTTTCAATAGATATTTTATAATTTTTTAAAAATAAGTATATAAGTGATTATAAAAAATTAACTTAAAGTAAAATCAGGCAAATCGATATAACTTAACAATTTTTAGTCCAGGCTTAAAATATGTAATATTGATTAAAAAATATTCAAAATATATAACATTATAAACCTATACAATATAATCGACATTTAACTAATTTTTTAAATTTTAAATGCTTAAAGGTTTGATTAGCTCATTGTTAATTATATTTATAATTTCTTAAATATTAAATAAACACATTGGATAATCTATGATACATAACTTCATCATTATTCTATATATTTTATGAAAATATTTATAATATTATACCTATATTTTATATTTCTTTAATAATAATTCTATAATGAGCAAGCCACATTTATATATTATGTTCACATTATAGTTTTTGGGTTTATGTTATTATATTATGTTGCATCAATTAAAAATAATGTAAAATAAAATGCACTTTGAAGGTAAACAACGATTATTGTTGTCAGAAAATATTTAAAAATGGATATGTGCTAAATGAAAGTTTGCTGATTATTATTATTCACTTATTAACTCAAAACCAGCCAAACCAGGTCAATATCTATGTTAATACGTTTGCTGAAATTAATTGCTGTAGGGTTGTCTCGCGAGATTTTAACAAATTAAAGTAGTGGGATAATGCACACTATATTTTATTGTACTGTTTTAATTTAGTGAATCTTCGTGGGACATCGTATTTTGGTGTGTACAACGGCACATCGCTGTATTATACATATAATATTTACCCATGCCCAAAATAGGCTATACTGCAGCTGAGAGCAGTCAGCTATAATATGCCTACTATGATAGTATTTTATCTACTATATTTTAAATAACATACAACAATATGCATATTATATAATATGAAATTAAACAAATTACTTTTTTTTTTTTAATATTGTAATATTTACTTACTTGAATAAATATTTCAACGTATTAAACTTACTATTTTATTTATACATTATACATAGCCTAATTGCCCATTATTCATTACACTCTTTAATCATAAAAGTAAAAATATATACATTGCACAATTATTAATCAATATTATATAACATATTTTAGCTGATGATCCTAATAATAGTTAGGTATTATTTAATTAGGAATAATATGTAATGGCGTACTGCATTTGCAATTCATAGTGGCATAGTACGTATATTATGTACTTACATATTTGCAGTGGATTAGATTGTCCATAGTCTGTAATATTAAAATATATAAACATTGACCAAATTCTATTATAGTACCTACCTATTATAACAAATACAAAAACAAAAAAATTAAATCAGGGTATACGCGTGGTATTATATGATAAACTTGTAAATATTAAAAGTATTCATAGTTCATATGAATAACAATATTAATGATATTTCCTTCTTCAGATAAATTATTATTATTATTGTCACTACTTGCATAACAGAATAATTCAATAATACCTTTAACTGTATTATATACATTACTTGTAGGTACGTAACGTTAAAAATAGGTACATAAACAAGTTCAATTTTTTTTACTATAATAGTAGCTACCCACCTATATATTACTAAACATTTCTTATTAATTAATATTCAATGACGCTGAAACAGTTATATTCTATTTCATATGGTTTGAATGATTTTTGATTTGTAAATTGTATATTATAGTTCAGAATACATAAATTAACAATTTTTTATTTAAGACAAACAATAATTCAAGATATTTATTATTTATACAAAATTATGTATCAACGCCTATAAGTGGTCAGATATTTGCAAATTCATGTCTATATTGGCATATTATGAACTAACTATGGGCACACATATTTCAAGCCTTAGAAAATATATTTAAACAATAAACCATCCGACACTTATTACCCTCTATAATATAATACATAGTTCAAAATAGTATGTTAATTTAGAACTTTAACTATAGAAAATAAGGCATTAACAATTTATTATAAAAAAAAAATTAGTTATGATAATTTATTGTAAATTTATTCACATTTCACACAAATTTTAATTGTTAAATTCAAGATAAATTCCTTGGACTAAAGACTTGCATTAAACAAATGTCGTTCACTACTTCACTGATTGTAAATTGTAATGTTTTGATTAAAATTTTTACGCAGTTATTTTTAATAACTAAAAAAACAATAAAGTTTTAATATGATGTAGATATAATTTGAAAAATTGAAAAATTATAGGATCAAATCCTAAACTATTATATATTGCAGGTAGGTACCGTTTCTATTATTATTATTTACTTACTTAATTTGTTTTAATAAAAGAAAAAAAACTGCTAACTTACTACTTACATTTATTTTATAAAATATTTAACATGATGCTCGAGTATCTATACAGCTGTATAGCTTTATGGTTTGCTATCAAGTATCGATGTATACGCCTAATTAAACAATGCACAAATGTAGAGCAACAAGACAGAAAACCGTAGTTGACGGCTGAGATAACAAAAGTATAGGTACGTATAATATTGTATGTGTTATAATTTATAATATAAAATAGATAAAATACCAATAATAATCGACAATATAAAACCATAGTACGAATAACATATTAATATTATTATCTATGGAAATGTTGCGCGTATAATTTGTATTATTCTGCTTGTTTCTGTATAAGAATGATGTGCAGCATTGATGAAAAATTTAATACGCATTGACACATAGCTTAGTCGCTTAAGTATCTAAAGTATCTATAATCGAGTATACGATTTTAGCTATAATATTTATCTATCTAATTGTAGATATTTACTTCTGCACTTAACGCTTTAAATTGCCTTTAATATAAACAGTTAACTAAGTTAAGTTATAACTTATGTTAATAGTTAACAAACAATGTATTTAATTCTTAAAGTTTATTATTAAAATAGAGAAAAATATTTAGTCATCATAATTAAGAAGAAATTATTATTTTAATTTTTAATGCTACTTGAGTCACATGTTAAGTGATTGAGCAAATTTCATTTTTTTTTTAAATTATAACTACCTACCTATGTGAATATTTTATGAAAATCCATTAAACTGTTCACTACAGTATATTAATATGCTATAATAAGTTTAATATATATATTATACACTATAGTTCTATTTTTATTGCACACTACTTGTATATTGTATTGGTTTACTGGTAAGTACAAGTTTGTGCCAAATAAAAGTAATATTTGTTTGTTTATTTTTATTTATTTGTTAAATCATTGTATATACAAATAATTCAACAATTTCAACAAGAAGATAAGTAATTAAGTAATTTTGAGTACTGTTATTATAGAGGTATATACACAATGCACATTTATAAACATGATTTTATTTTAACTATGCAAATTAATTTTTTTTTTTAGGATATACATTTTTATTTTATTATTTCTATTTTATTTGCAATAATATTACTAGAAAGATAACATATTATACTTATATAACGTATATAGTCTAAGATATACTTTACTCTGTGCTTGCAAGTCTCACCAATCATTCAGTTAAAACATAAAACTTTAATACAATATTTTATCAATTATAAATTATTGTTTTAATATGTATAAACCACTAGGCACCCATTTAATTTTGTAACCTATGTTCATAAGTCGAAATTGTAAATCAAAATAGAGTATAGACGTATAGTAAATAGCTATACCTAAAACGTACCTTCATTAAAATATATTTTTTGTAAAACCATTTTTTAAACTTTTAATAGAGTTCATATTTAGGTTGTATAAAACTTTATAGAGTCATTATAACATAGGTACCTAAATTATATTTGTTTAGTTGGAAAAAATTCTTAAAAATTATAAAGAAATAAAGTCAGAAGCCTACAGGACTACAGCAACTGAGTGTATGAGAAGTATATTATTATTTTATAAGGTATATTAGCTATAATATATTAATTTTATAAATGTATAATAATATGCTATAGTCTGTAGAGAAACGAGTAACGACGGTTAAAATGTCGGCATCTATGAATATGAATACTTGTAATTCTGTCGGTGGTGCTCTAGCTGTCATGGACAAAACGACGATGAGAGCGCAGGCGTCAGTTTCTTCTTCCATGCGCGTCGTATTGCGCACTCTCGAGCGGTCGTCGAGCAGGAGCAGCACCGACCGGACGGATGCGCGCGCGTTACCGCCGCATACTTTCGTTGTCTTGTCCCATTTCTATAATCACAAACAAAAATGGCGTCTGCTCTGTCTCGTTCGGATGCGATTCGCGAGTGTTGACGTATTTGCGTTGAATTATCGTGTCGGCCGATTGAAACGACGACCGCACTCGCAGGCGTCGGTATACACCAATTCCTGTGATACCATACAATCGAATTGCACATAACACACTTTGTCGTCTGCATCACATACATACAAGGTACGTATTTTTTATTTTTGCTTTTTTTATTAATCAAATATTGTTTACGTCTGTTTTGTCGTCTACAGCCCACATCTCCCGAAACCAGACAATAATGACAATGAGAACAACAATAATAATTTATGTTTTCGTAGTGTAATTGTTTTAAATAATATTACGATATCATTATCCACTTAGAGCCCCTGACTATTAAAAGCTTTTTTATGCCGATAAAATTTTCGTCGCTTCCGTTAATTACGCATCGTGTGTGTGCCTGCGTGCTTACGTTTGCGTATCTTTATATCTATAGTTGGAAATTGGAATTAAACTGTCGCGCGCTCGTGCGTGTGTGCGCGTTTATATGGGGACAATTGTTATCAAAAATACGTACTACCTATAATAATATAAAGGTCAAATTATGTCGATTTTCCTATGACCCTTTCCTTATAAAGAAAAAAATCGTTTTTACCTCTAACGGGTTCATCTCAAATTTATAATTCTAATGTTTACGGTAATGATGATAATTATTACGTATATTATCGTTGTTTAAGTTTCGAAAGCCGATCGATAAATCAACATTGGCATTTGGCTTTTCTCATACCATTGATAATAATATTTAAAAAAAATTGTTTTTCGTGCGTCTAAATACAATTGTTTTTATTTCTTGTTATTGTCTTGCATTTTTTCATGTACATTTCTCTCTGCAAGTTTTTTCATTGTATGACCCTAGACTACATCGTTGGTTGTTATCATTATTATTTTTATTATTATTTATTAAGTATGATTTTGCGATGTAGTTTTTCGAAATCTGATTACTAGTTTAGCAAAAATATAATATACTTATACATATTTTAAACGTAGTTCGCTAAACTAGTAATCAGATTTCGAAAAACTGCATCGCCAAATAATGCTAATTATTATTTTTGATAATACAAAATTAAAACATTACTATTTTCGATTTTGTGTTATCGATGTCTTCGAAAATAGAACACGTTACACGAGTCGTTTAACCCACATTCTAAAGAACGTTGTGGGTTTTTTTTTTAACGTTTAACTCCTATAGGATTATAATATTAATTGGTACAGAGATAAACACAATTCGGTTTGTAAAATCTTATTGCGTGATAAAAACAAATCGATTTATATGTTCATATTATAAAAATGAACGATACGATATGTATAGTTGGCACTCTCGCAAGTCACAATTAATAAATAATAATATGTAATATTGTTTATCGTATCAAGTATTTAAATTACTTGTTATATTATTATTAATATTATTTAGGTAGCCGTAATATTATGTACCTTGATAATTATAATTAGTTCTTTAAACATTTAACATAATTATGGTGGTGATAACAGGAGTTAAACCTTCAAATGTTCAAATGTTCGTTATCTTTATAGTTTATTTTATCGAAACTATACAGACTTTAGGCGCGAGATGTATGTAAGATGGATGATATTAGTTTATGAATATCGTTGCTATACTGTCTCTGGTTTTTCGTTTCCCATCGTTTCTGAGGTCATTAGAATAATATTATTTTTCAGTTGCGGTGACATCGAGAGTGGTTTTTATACTGATATTGAATATTATTAACTATCCCTAATTTTTTGTTTATTCAAGTTAAAAAAAAATTGGTGCATTTTAAAGATTCTGTAATCATTCTTATTTACAATACTATTTATATATATATTTATGTATCGTTTGTTTGTGGAATACATCTTGTAATCTGCTTCGTATTGTAAGAAGATCTGCAAATTTCATAATTAATACTTGTTCTACAAATGTAAGTTTTATTCTAATGTAATAAATACAAATATTCAAATTTAGTTGGTATAGCTTTCATAAAATCAGACTATTGTTCTATTAATTTAGTAAAAAATTTATTTATACTGATGCATTTTATTGATTATGGATTATTGTGTTAAATTTATCCTAAATTAATTTGATCTAAATCAAATAAAAAACAATTTATTTTGAGATTTTTTTCATGTAGATTATATTTATGTTTATAATTAAAAATATGTGTAAATCATTGAAGAAATAATTTCCCACTATTGTTTTACGATTTTCATCAGATCAATAAAATCAATTTTTAGGAATAATTTAGGTGTAAATTTAAAATGCTTATGTTATTTTTAATTGTTGTGGTGCTAATTTTTATGAATTACGTTGTACAAGTATAACACATTAATCTGATTAAATGTTTACAGTCAAAATAGTTTTATTTGAAAATATTTCGATATAAATATATATATGATATATCTTTTAATGGAACAAATTGTGTTAGTTTATTTAGTATATAAACTATTTAATAACATATAGACATTGTTATTATAAAAAAAGCTTTTACAAATTGAATGATTCTTGTTTGCCCTCGAAAAGTAATTTTAAAAATAATAGATAACAATATGTAAATGAAAATCATTCTTAGGTCTTCCTAAATAATTATACGCACTCAACCAAAACATTCATTTCCTATTGATGTCTGTTATTGCTACTTTGATTTGTACCTTAACTTCCTCCTTTCTTTATTTTTACATTTAAATAAAAAATTTGGAAAAAATCGTAAAATAAAATAATAATGAAATATTCTTATTATAAATAATACAATTTTGATGAACCATTAATGTTTTTAATTTATTGCGTATTTTATTCGTTTAACATTTTTACTGTTTATTTTTAATATAATTATTAGTAATGGAAATGGATTTAAACAGTATTTTATTCTGATATTTTAATGTTTATGAAGATACTAATGTGTGGGATTTAATAATTTGGTGTTACTCTTAAAGTCCTAATACAAAATTAAGTAATCTCTTAGATTTGCACTGCTTCACGTGCCTTATCATTAGAATTTGTTTCTGATGTTGATAAATATTAAGTAATAACACAATTGTGATTTGTATGGTATTGACGTGTTTATGTAAATTATAAAATATTTGCTTAGACACCTGTAATGGCTATAATCATTTACATTAAATCCATTTTTTCGTAATTTTTAGAAAAACATTTATAATTTGTTATTGATCTATTATACAAACTAATTTATGATTTGCTTTATTTTCTGTAAATTAAATATCTATCTCCAAAAAAAAAAATTAATACTTATTTTTGGATGTAAATGCAATTTTGGGAGAAATAATATAATATATATTATATTGTATTAATTTGGTAAGCAAATTTAATATTTTGAAGTATTTAATAAATATGTGCGTTTGTTCTTGTATAAAAATAAACAACTTAAACTATTCTCAACAATAATTAGCATGCAAATAGCAGCTATTTCACAACATGTTTTCATTTGTTTGTTGTGTGTTATTTTATGATATTAATGTTTAACTATTTGTAATCAATAACTATATAATATCAAATTCTATTTTTTAATCAACAAATAATATATATTTTAGTTGATAATATTAAATTCGAATGTAATGGTAATTACTACGGTTTTATGAAAACTTATGAGTAACACAATCCCTAAAAAATTTAAATAATTCTTCAACAGAAGAAAATTATATTTATAATTATAATAAAATTTTATGGTATTTAAATATAGCTATAATAATATTTAATAGTATTTAAATATAGCTAGATTTTTGATTACTGTTGTGATCCTTGCAAGTGTTCAACTGGTAATAACTTGTTTTTGAAAAAAGAAAAAAACTTCTCTCAGTCAAGGTTGTATATCTCGCGTAGGCGCTTTGATTTTGTTGTCGATTTTTCTGCGCATGTCGGTCGTGGCCTGTACTTTCAAAATCGCAGATCGGTCTATCCGCCACCGTTGGTGTTTACATTTTGCCGGTCACCACTGATGTTCGTTAACCGTAGACCGTACAGTGATACATACTTTTCGTGTATCAGGTGACAACGAAGGGGTATTGTGTAATTATAACAATAACGATATTATTATTATTATTATATTGCAAAACGTATACAATTGCAGAGACCATAATATTATTATGGCGAGAGAAGGGAATTATTACAATAGTACATAATAACCACGATCGTGTGGAAGGAGTAGAAAAAAAAATCCTATTGACGAAAATTACGCAGTTAACATCGACTATCCAGGCAGGCCCAGATCAGACCCTGAGAACGATGACGGTTACAAGCATAGAAATTAGGAGCAACCTTGGTAGTGCCCGAAGCGTATTTTGTCGTTATGAGCGTGTCCCCGGTCCCGCGTCGCTAGTGTGGTCGGAAGCTGCCGCTGCACCGTATTTTACGAGATACGTTCGGTCGTACCCGCAGTGTGACCAACCGTCATCGACATACCACGCAACGGCGGCGACGCGAAGTTTGTTTTTTCACGATCCATTGGCCGCACACGAAAACACATCGGTCGCCGCTCCCCTCCCATCGTGACCCCTTCTGTAGACTTGCCCAGCAGCAGCTGGCTCTCGACTATGTCTTGTGCGTGTTTATTTTTATATTATTGTATTATTATTATTGTGTGGACCCGCCGCCGTGTGATGTTGGTACCAACTACTAGTTCCGATTTTTATAAAATCAATAATCTCACTACAATATTTTTTATTAAAATACATTACGTAGGTATATAATACATTTGTTTATTTAAGTTCTATACAAAATAAAAATTTATAGAAAAAGTTTATTAATGGGCGGGGGATGAAATAAGGTTGACCTTGTTGGTGGTGGGAGTTAATGAGGGTTGTTCGATTGGCCCCAAAAAATAAGTAAAAACATTCTGTGTTTCCCGACTCCATCGACGACTTTCACGTTGTACGCAGCGGTCAAATGTCAACGACCCCGCCGGCGTGTCGTCGCTGCCGAACGATTTTCTGCGTTACTATTTTTTTTCATCTTTGGATTGTTGTTTTCCGCCTTTTGCACATCAAAACTATAATAATAATAGTGATACTCATAGTCCGCGTAACGCACGTGACGGTCCTGGTTTTTTTGGGGAAAGGGAAGCGTATTAACTGATGCAATTTCCATCGGTTATTATCTTTTTCGGATGTCTTGGTAGCGAAAAAAACATAAATCTGTGCATAATAAACCTATCTAACTGTAACGGACGCAGCGGCATCCGCAGCCTCGTCGTCGGAGGGGAAAGTCCCGTTGTTTACGCGTGTATAGCGTAGCGAAAGGGAACTAGAAAAGAAACATGATTCGAAACATCACGCATTCACGCCATAATTATTGTATTCGTTGGCTACAGTGTGACCGCCGTGTCGCAGCCTAGGTTTTACATTCCGCCATCGTACAAATTGTATATAGTAGGTAATACATTGTTTTAATATATAAAATGTACGTACAACAAAACCGTATTAACTATGTATGTACTTTCTATTTGCGCCCATCGACATAGAGATTAGAGACTGTGATCGCAAATAACGAACACCGTGTTTCATAACAATAGCAGCAAGAACAACAAAAACAATAATAATATTTAAATAATAACAACAGACGAAATGTCTCGGGCACTTGGATCTTGAACTTTCGGGGTGTTTATATATTTACATCTTCATTTCAACGAATGCTCGTAATCAGCAAACACGGTAGTAGTAAAATAATAAAAGCTTGAAGTTTCACAAATTCAGCAATACACTGACAGCTCATACACACCCACCCACCCGTTCACCACCCTTGGTTATCGAGCTATGACCGCCACCACCGACAACAAATGTACAATATTATTGTACATTATACAGAGCGAATGTGGCGCGTTTTAACGCGCGCATATTACGCGTCCCAGATCAATTTTTATTGTCGCGCGGTAGCGAACGGGCGATGGTAGTTGTGACGGCGGTGTCTAAAAAGGAGGTGGTGGCGTCGGCGGCGGCAGCGTTGCTTTGGCGGTGGTAGTAGTGGTGCTGGGTGGGGGAAATGGTGCGGTGACGGTGGCCGAGGGAGTGAAGATTGGCCGAACGGAATAGGTGAACCGGATCGGCGGCGATTGGCCGACAGTAGAACGATGCCCTCTCGCGCGCCGCACGGTTGTGCTTCTGTATTTTTCGGTGTCGTTCGCGTTTTCGTTCGCCCGTCGTGTTTTCGTTCATCCCGCACTAAAACGCGAACAATTCTCCACCCTACGATTGTAATAAAGTCATTATAATATTGTTATAATTTTTATTTAATAAGAATTGTGCATAAGTCGTTTTAAATATATAAATATTAAATATTAAGTACCTAAAAATGATAATTAAATGGTAATATATACATTGTTACAAATATGTTAGTGTTAAGTGAATAATCTCTAATAAAAACGCGTCTGTGTTATTAGTGTAAGTTTGACAAATATCTTAATTTGTGGAATATTGGATATACCAGTCCGAAGGTAAATTATTATTATTCATCTTTCTTCCTGGGCAACAACAGTATTTTAATTATTTTTCCATCATTTCGTCTCGTAATTTATCAAGGATTTATTATCATTTTGTGAAATCTAGCATTATATTTCAGTAGTTGGATATCAATTTCGAATTGTAGTGTGAAAAACGCTAAAACAACGTTACGCGTTGACAACTTTTTTCCTTTCTAAATTTTGGTCCAACAGATGACTTAAAAGAGATTAATAAAAATATTTTAAAACTGTCGTTACTCATAATTTAATTGGTGTTCACACATGTCAGTTTTTATAGCGTTTGTAAGTATTAGTTATTCATCCCTAAAATTTTTATAAAATGTGAAAATATCGACCCCACGGATCGATTTTATTTTTTACAAGCAAATGACATTTTGCAGTGATGTGTACTTTTTTGCGAATTTCTCGTAGACGTTATGATGTTGGTACCACTGTGCTTAGTCCTGATATTTTTGATAATGTTAAGCGCCAGTTTGACATTCAGATTTAATTACAGTAATATTCGTATTTTTTACATTTTTAAACAACATGCGTGTTCGTTAGGTCCTTGTACTAAGTTACTAAATCGTCTAGGTATTAAAATTATGTTATGGGGACATGTAATGATAATTATAAATAATAAATATAAATTATTTTGTATTCTCTCACCGGCCAAATAATTTTTAAGTAGAACTTAGATTTCCATTATATTATATTTTATTTTTTTGTTCCTCAATAAAATTTTGTTTTCCTAATACTGTTGAAATTTTTGAGTGATATGTTTTTTACTGTGTATACTTTTATATTTTTTTTACTATAATATACCTATTTTAATTTTATTAAAATTATAATTGTGATAGGTATTTGTGTTTTTTGATTAAATCCATGTATTCAATCAGTGGTACACTAAGTTAATTTAAAGATTTAACCAAATCTTATAATTTTTTTCTGAAAAAGTATTATTTATATAAATAATTTGAACATTAAAAAGGAGTTAACCAGATTTTTTTAAAGTTATATGTAAGATAAATCAAAAAAAAATAAATAAATAATAACTATAATTTTTTAGTGTAATGATGTGAAAAATATTAAATGATAAATTATGAACATAACTTTGAACTCTCTCACTGAACTTTTAATATTATTTTAAATAGTTAAGTTTTGAATTTTTACTAAATTATATTTATTGACTTCAGTTAGGTATTATAGTTGGAATTACTAATACACAATTATGTAAATGTTTAAATTGGTTAAAAAGTATTAAAATTTGTATTCATTTAAATTCATTTATCACTTTGTCACTTTATTGTTAATTAATGATGAGAAATGTATTAAAATGATTAACTGTGATCATAATTTTGAACTCTCTCACTGAATACTTAGGTCTTAAAGTAAACCTAATATAATCCTTTTTTTTTTTTTATTTTTTTTACTTATATTTAAATGGTATATAATAATATCAGATGATGAGAAATATATTTAATGATAAATTATGAATATAATTTTGAACTCTCTCACTGAATCTTTAATATTATTTTAAATAGTTAAGTTTTGAATTTTTACTAAATTA